TAAGCAAAATAAGCCAGTCGGAGAAAGATAAATATTACAGGATCTCACTCATTTGTGGAATATAATGAACAACATAAACTGATGAACAAAAATATATCCAGAGACAGAGAAACACCAAACGGATCATCAAACTTCAGAGGGAAGGCAGGGGAAGGCGGGGAGGGGGAGTGGGGTAAGAGATCAACCAAAGGAGTTGTATGCATGCATATTAGCATAACCAAAGGACATGGACACTGGGTGGTGGGGGCTTGTCCTGGGGGTGGGAGTGGACGGGATGGGGGAAAAAGGAGACATATGTAATACTTTAAACAATAAAAAAAATTTTTTTATTGAAGTTATTGGGGTGGCACTGGTTAATAAAATTATATAGATTTCGAGTATATAATTCTATAATACATCATTTATATATTGTATTGTGTTCATCATTCAAAGTCAAGTCTCTTTCCATCACCTTTTCCTTCCTTTACCCTCTCTACCTCTTCCCAACCCTCTTTCCCTCTTGTAATCACCATATTGTTGTCTGTGTCTATGAGTTGTTGTTTTTTCTTAATTCATTCACCTTTTTCACCCAGGCCCCACGTCCTCTCTCCTCTGACAGCTGTCAGTCTGTTTTCTTTCTATGGGTCTGTTTCTATTTTGTTTGTTTATTTTATTCATTCGATTCCACATATAAGTGAAATCATATGATATTTGTCTTTCTCTGACTGCTTTTTTCACTTAGCATAATACTCTCCAGCTCCATCCAGGGTGTCACAAAAGGTAAGATTTTCTTCTTTTTTACAGCCAAATAGTATTCAATCGTGTAAATGTACCATAGCTTTTTTTTTTTTAAATCTAGCATCTATTTTTGGACACTTAGGCTGCTTCCAAATCTAGGCTATTGCAAATAATACTGCAATGAACATAGAAGTGCGCACTGCATATTGGTCTTGAACCAATGTCCACAACTTTATTATGTCATACTAATGTTAGCAGCATTTTAGGTCATTCTAATCGCATTTGTATTGAGCATGTGCACTTAGGTGACAGTGATGCTTTACAGATGTTCTTTAGAAGAGAAGAAATATGTACCCTTTTCCATTTATTTCTGGGATTCCTGGAGATTTGACAAGCTCGTTGAGACCATAGGAGAGGTGTACAGTAGCATGGAATAGTTATGTTAAAGAGGAGTTGCCAAGCTTCTTACCTAATTGCAACACCTAAGTTTCTAGCGACTTGCTCATTCTAAACTTTTCTTTTACCCTAGTACAAACATCAATGTTGGGTACATACATTCTTTTGGATTAGTGTTTTGGGTTTCTTTGGATTAATTCCCAGAAGTGTAATCACTGGGTCATAAGGTCATTCCATTTTTGTTTTTTTGAGGCAACTCCATACTTCTTTCTACAGTGGCTGTACCAATCCGCAGCTCATCTTGTTAAGCTTGCCCTCTTAAGCTTGCTGAGTCCTGGGGGAGACTGAGGCGCACACACAGTAACGCAGGGCAGAATGAATGGGGAGACTGGACAAGGCCTCGAAGAGGATAAAAAAGCTTTGGTAAATTTATACAATAGAATACTACTCTGCCATAAAAAGGAAGAATATTTTACTCTTTGTGACAGTATGGATGGATCTGGAGAACATTATGCTAAGTGAAAAAGCCAGTCACAGAACAAGTACCACATGATTTTACTTGTATGTGAACTTTAATGAACAAACTGAACTACCAAGCAAAACAGACAGACTCATAGATTGAGAGCAGGCAGACAACTCTGATTGTGGGGGAGTATTGGGGGAAGGGGTGTGCAGGGTTTGAGCAAAAAAGCTTAAAAAAGAGAGAGAACTCATGAACAATGTGGTGATTGTGGGGGGGATGAGGTGGGTGGAGGGAAAGAGGGCATAGAGGGGGGAAAGTGATAATGGAAAAAATAAAATAAACATAAAAAAGTAAAATAAAATTAACATCAATGTTTGACATCTATACTGGTCACTTAGCATAGGCATTAATTATTGATATGATTTAAGGAAACTTGTTATTAGCCTTCATACATAATGTATAAGCATTTGTCCATAATATATAAGCTAGAGAGAGTCTTGCCTCCTCATGATATGGCCCCATCTTCCCTTACCCTTAGCAGGAGCTGTTCAGGCTGCCTCAGCTTGTGACTCTATTGGGATGGTAGGTTGAAAACTGAGAAGGACTGAGAAAGTGTGAAAATAATTTCTTATTTAGAAAATTTATTAAATAAAGGTGAATAAAATATTTCAGAAATCCATTACACTTTGAAAAGATAATTATAGAGCAATTTACAAAAAACGATCCTTTATTAATAGCTTTATATTGCATCTTGTTCACTTAACAACTTTATGCTGGTCCTAAATGGAATTTTAATGTTTCTCTCCAAATATAATATTGAGACACGTCTAAATGGCAGAGGTTGATAAAAAGAAGCCTCATCACCCCCTAGTAGCACGTTCTGCATGCTTCATTTTATATAAACATTCTAGTGGTGTTTGAGAGGAAATGGCTGCGTAGCATTATCCTAAATTGAAAATGAATTTTTAGTATTTTCACATCCATCAATGGAAAACTATCTCTTATTGTCTGATCATTAAGTAATTCCTATCTTACAAGCCCTAAACCAAAGAGCTTTGCACATTCCAAAGAGAAGCTGGACGTCAACATTTTATAACAGACAAATGGAGAGGGAGATGCTTGGGAAGGCCAGAGGAAGAAGGCTGCAGCATTTTTAATTTCAGGGGAACTCCCACAGCCCACACTGTTGAGCGTTCTGTGGTGTCACTATCATGTGTGCCGTGTACAGGTGCAGGAGGAGGCAACGAGAAGTCTGGCTTTGCCAGTTCAAAAGAGGTCCTGAAGTGACGGTTGGGTCCATGGCAGTCAACCAGAAGTCAGAAAGTCATGGAGCCCAGATTGAATGGTGTGGGCTGGTGAGAGCCTCAGGAGTTCCTGAAGGATTGGTTTACTTCAAGCTGTTAGCTCTCCAATGAGGCAAAGAAGTAAACGAAGCAATTGGCACCTCCCCAAGAACGCAGAGGTACTCCTCCAGCATCTGAGCAACGGAGACCACCTGCACACACCTAGCCAACATGTGATGAGATGCATGCGGTTAGCAGCATCGTGAAGCTGACAGACTGCCAAACAAGCTACGGAAATGGTTGGGGTTTCAAGCTTCCAGTGCTTTCTTTATAGGACCACAAGTCTGGGCTGAGGGTGTGAGAAAGCCAACCCGAGCAGCTGCTAAGGGGGAGGAAGGATACAAGAAGACAAATGAGGACCTAGTGCAGGGAGGTTGCAGTTAACCCTTTGCTCTTGGCTTGGGGTTGGTGAGAAAGACCAGAGATGGTAGAGTTTGCAAAATTCTGTCCGAGAGACAAAATAGACAAGGCTACAACAGATGTAGATAGAAACCAAGAGCTTAGTGGTTGAAAGGTTAGCGTGTTCGACTATAAGTTAGCTGCTGCAGTAAAAATGTTCTCCCTGGATTGCGGGGCAGGCTGACTAGAATTCTCACAGCAATAAAGAACTCTTGGTAGTTTCCAACACAGAGGGTCAGAGAAGAATGGAGAAGTGGAAGCCAGAGGAGGGTCCTGGATGTGGGCAGGGTGATGTCACTGACACTCTGAGAAACCTCTTCCCAACACTCTCTGAAAAAAAGTCGAGCTTGGATAGTAACTTAGTTTAGCTGCAAAGAAAACAAGATCCACACGCAACGTGAGGTTTTCAAAAAATTCCCTTGACCATCTTTCACTTCCTCTTACAGCAAAGGTAAGCGGTGGGTGGGGACTCCCCATCTGCAAAGTCTTCAGCAGATCTGCCAAGGCGAAAAGAGAAAGTAAAAGCAAATTCCAGTCGCTGCCAAGGGGGATGGTGAGGCTGACACTACCTAGACTAGAGCATCTGCTAAGGTGGTAGGTTCCTGGTCCTGCTTTCCCAGTGAGAGGCAGGAAATCTCAGGGTAGGCGACCTGTCCTCCAGCGAGAGGCCCCTGGTGAGCCTTTGTGGGTGATAAACCAACGAGGAGAAAGGGCTGCTGCTCCAGGCACTGAGGCGGGGACATCACAGCAGTCATGATCCTGATCGCTTCAAGAGGCATGGCTTAACCTGACTTCCTTTCACGTGCATCCCTGGGCACAGTGAAGTCGGGAATCATTACTCATCCTTGGCGCTGTGGGTGGAGAGCGCCTCTGGACACCCCAAGTGGCACAAGTGACCAAGGGGATGGGACGGGAGGAGTACTGAGAAGCCCTCTACTCCAGGGAAGCAAGTTGGAGGAGAGAGGATGAGGGAGGCGGGGGAGGGGAGACCCAGAAAAGACTCAGTGCCCCTCCCCGACGCTGGGCTCCTAGCCCTCGGCTGCGGAAAGGCCCGGCCCTCCCACGCCCCACGCCGCCATCCTCCCGGCACCTTCTCCCCAGACTTCTGCTTCGGCTCACTTGTCCGGCTCCAGACCCCCGAGCAAAGCAGAGAGGACGGGGCCCTGGAGCTCAGCCCTAACCCGAACCGAGGGAAGTCAGCAGCCCTGGCAGCGTCGAGGCCCCCCGCCGGCTGGCGGGCGGACGCACCCACCCCGGTTACCTGCGCGGCCAAAGGGCTCCGCCAGCTCGAAGCATTGAAGGAGCAGCACGAGGAGCTCCGCCGCGCAGCGAGCGGTGGCCCAGTGCGTCCTCATCCTGACCGGCCCTACCGCGTCCTCGGGCGCAGGTGGCACCCAGACTTTCCGGTGCGCCCAACCAGCCCCACCAGCGCCCTTGCCCTTAGGCTCCCGGGGCGCTCCGGCCCCGCCCCCTTCCCCTCAGCCAATCAGATCACCATGAATTGGGTCCCCGGGCAGGGAAGGGTGGGGCGGGGCGGGGTAGGAGGCGGGAAGATGACGTACAGGAGCTTTGCGCACCTGTGACGGGCGGGCCCTCGAGGAGGCGGGGAGTGGGCCTGG